GAAAGACTAAAGAATTATGGGAAAAAAGCCATGAAATCTATGTGCAGTGTTCCCCTAGCGCTGGCATTCTGCAGTTCTCATTGATCAGTAAACTTGATCTTGGCTGGTTGTTCTTACTGATCTTCTGGGGGAGGGGCCTGTTGCCATGGTTCCTAAATGTGGAATTGCCCCACCCTTGCCTGGTCCGGGCTGTAATCTGCTCGGGTTTGCTCTCGGGAGCTTTCGTTCCCTGCAAGCTTTTGGTACAGCTTTGGAGGACAAGAGTGAACATGGTGGCCTCCCAGGCTCCGCCCCGGAGGAGCCGAGAACTTGGGGCCCCACTTCTCAGTGCGCCCCCAGAGAAAAACAGTCAATCACTCCCATGTCTCCAGGCTCTGGCCACACTCTGTGCTCACCTGGCCTGTGACTGAGCATTTCTCTCTCTGGCACCCGACCCCGTGTGGAGTCTCCAAACCCAGCAGATCCCTGCGGTGCACTCCCGCGCCGCTCCTCCCAGGGGAGGAAAGGGAGTCTCCCCGGCTCTGCCGCTTGTTGGGTCCCTGCTGGAGGAGCAGTGGCCCGACTGTGTCGCCGATCATGGTTTATGGCAACCCCGAGCTGAGACCCTGCGCCTCGGCTCTGGCTCTGCAGCTGGCTTCCCCGCTCTGATACCCGGGAGCTCTGCCGCACTCAGGCACCCCTGGTCTTTCGTGAACCCAAGGGACCTGAGACCACAGTGTCCTGTGAAGTTTTCACCTCCCGCTTAGGCGCTGGAGCGACGTCCCTTAGCAGAGCCGACTACTAAAAGTTCCAATTTTCTGCTCCGCTGCTCTATCACTTGCCAGAAGTGCCCGATGGAGGCCCCCTCCCCTGCCATCTAGCCTCCCGAATAGCACCTCGGATTCACTTCTCTGCACTTCCTACCTTCCAGAATGTGCTCGCTTTTCTGTTCAGAGAGTTGTTGCAATTCTTTTCTTCAATCTCCTTTTGAGTTCGTAGGTGTTCAGAATGGTTTGATCCCTATCCAGCTGATTTCCTGAGACCAGACGAAATCCGGGTCTCCTACTCCTCTGTCATCTTGCTCCGCCCCCCAGAGATGGCTTCTCGTCAGAGTAGCTAGCTGTTCCAGTGAGGTCAGTACCCAGAAAGGTCTGAGTGAGGAGACCAAGGGGATGCCCCACATACCCAGTTCAGCAGGATGCTCTTGTACATGGTGCCGATCTTCATGTCCAGGCTGATGGGATGAGGCAGCAGCGCCCACCTGCTGCCTGGAGAGCAGCAGCGAGGAGCTGTGGTTGCAGACCCTGAGAGGCGGAGCTCGTGTGATTCCGAGGCTGCCACAGATCTGATGGAGGCAGAGGAGGGGGAGGTGCTGACAGAGGCTGAGATGATGCCTGAGGTCTCCAGGGGCGACTGGGAGGTCAACTCCGGAACCTGAGGAACGGCAAGGCCAGCAGAAACACCAGACTGTGCAAGGCAACCCCAGTCAGCATCTAGCCCAGAAGGTTCTAGAGACTGAGTCTTCTTGGCCCCTTGTGGCTGTGGAGTGGGGACCCAGGCTCCAGGAAGGGATGTCAGGGAGAAAGGGTGGGGAAAGTCCAGGCCTTTTCCTGGCCATCAGGGACCCTGGGACAAAACCCACACTAATGTCCTCCACATCTACATCAGGCTGGAGGAGCCTGCAGAGCAGGTAGGCGATGTCCCTGCTGCGCAGGGAGGGGCTGCCTCTGAGCTGGTCTCAGGACTTGGAGTGAGGGCTCCTTTTGGTCTTGGGTGTTGTGTTGGGGGTGTGGTGGCAGAATTGAAGGGCTGACTTTGCATTCATCAGACACCCTAGGTGAATGGGTGCTCTTGGGTGTCCATGGGCATAGGTGGCTGTGACCCACACATGGCAAAGAGTGAAGGAAATGCAAAGAAGACAGTGCCCTGGGCTATGCAGGCTTTCCTGCTCATGCGCAGTGCTCCTTGGCAAAATTCAGCTAGTCTTCTTGTTCCTACAGCACAGAAGGCGCCTAAGGTCATGAGTGGTTCATGGGAAGCCAGGTCAGTCTGTTGCCTGGCAGGAGGAGAGGTACAGCCTGAAATGACAGTCTGGGGGTGACCTGGAATGCCAGGTGAGGTAGAAATTGCCCAGGTAGCCTGATCCACTCCAGTCTGTCCTGCTTCTCTACCCAACAACCCAGACCTGGACAGCTGGCTGGCATCTGGAGCAGTTAGAGTGTTCCTCTGCTTCAGTCGAAGGAGAAGATCAAAGTTAGTAGAGCAAAAGAAACCATGAAGATTAGGGCAGAGATAATTGGAAGAGAAGAGCACGTGAGAAAATCAGTGAAAACAACATTTCTTTCTTTTGCGGATTTACCAAAATTGACAAGGAGACAAAAATGGAACCATTTTATACCAACAAAGTGGCTCGCTGAGATGAAGCAGATAATTCTGAGAAGCACACAAATGACCAAAAGTGACTCCAGAAGAAATGGAAACCCTGAGCAGACCTGTAATAAGTAAATAGACTGAAGCAGTAATGAGAACTTCCCAACAATGAAAAGACCAGAACCCAATGCTTTCCCTGGTGATTTGTCCCACACATTTAAAGAAGACCTGATATCAATCTTTCTGAAAGTCTGCCAAAAGTACAAGAGGAGGGAACACTTCCCACATCACCCTAGAATGCCAGCATTGTCCCGATTCCAAAGACTGACAAAGACCTTACAAGAAAAGAGGACGCCAGGCCAAAATCCATGATGAAGAGCGAGGCAAGAATCCTCAACAGAATTCTAGCAGACCGAATCTAGCAGCACACTGACAGGACTATACATCATGACCAAGTGTGATTTACACCAGGAATGCAAAGGCTGTTCAACATAGCTAATCGGTGTCCTAGACCACATCCAGAAGAAACATGATCATGTCAATTAATGTAGGATAATCTTTAACAAAATCCAAACTCTTTCATGATAAGTGCTCACAATAAAATAGAAGTAGAAGATTAAATTGTGATAAAGGAGGGGTGCCTGGGTGACTCAGTGGGTCGAGCATCTGACTTTTGGTTTGGGCTCAGGTCATGATCTCACGGGTCTTGAGATCAAGCCCCGTGGCAGACTCCTCACTCAGCAGGGAATCTGCTGGAGATTCTCTGCTCTCACGTGCACTCTCTCTGTCTCCTTCTCTCACAGTCTCTCATATAAAGAGTCTTTAAAAATTATCATAAAGGATATTGATGAAAAAAGCTCATATGTACATTCTTAGTGCATATGTTAAAACAGAGGTGGTAAAACTGCCTCTATTTCTGGCCTTTGTGTTTGAGCAGAGACTAGTATTTTCTGCCTCCAGTTTTGGTGGGGCTGCTGCTGCTGGAATGTGTTCTACCTCTGGAGCTTGTCCCAGATGTCCCTGTCCTCTGGAGCCAGTGCAAGACTCCTGCTGCCTCCGGCTGTAACATTAGAGCTCATGCTCGAGCCAGGGCGGCAGCTGGCTCCTCCTCTGAGCCCGGCATTGCCCCTAACTCTGCAGGTACTTGTGGAGCTGGTTCTAGCTCTAGAGGAGTCCTGCTGCACTTGCGTCCTGTGGAGACCGTGGGGCTATGGTATCCCTCTTTCCAGGGAGGGGCATGCTGCTAGGAAGTCCTGATGGGCTCATTCACAAGGAGCCTTTCAAAAGAGGTCTGTGCTCAGAGAGGAGGGCCCCACGGGGACTCCCCAGCTACAGGGTTCACCAGGATGCACTTGTCACATCCAGCGTGACGTGGACGATGCTGTGTTGCCCCTGTGCTGGGTGGAGAGCTGCAAGGAGAAGCTGTGGCTGCAGAACCCTGAGAGAGAGGGTTTGCGGGTGCGTGTGGCAGTCAGGGACATGGTGGCAGCTCAAGAGGAGGACGAGCTGTGTTGGCTAAATGGTGCCAAAGATCATCAGGGATGATGAAGAGGTGGAGGCTCAGAACTGTGAAGACGGTAGGATCGGTAGGTTCTCTGGATCCTGCAGGGCGCTCCAGGCTGGGGTCCAGCTCAGGGACTTCTAGAAGCTCTTTTTAGGAGTTGGGATTCCCCGGCCCCTGTTGTGCATGTGGAGTGGGGATCACTGGCACTGGGAGGGGCTATCAGGGAGAAGGGATGGGGCAGTCACCTTCTTTTCCTGGCCATCAGGGAACTCTGGGTCACAGGTCGTGTTGCTCTCCTCCACTTTGGAGTTAGGGGAGCTGATGGAGCCAGCAAGGCCCAGCGCGGAAGGAGAAGAGTTAGAAGGGGAAGGGGAAGCTGGCGCCGCTGACGGGCAGGTACTACCGGCAGCTGCTGGAGCGCCTGCAGGCGCGGCAGGCTCGGCGGGAGGAGCTGCGGGACCAGGACGAGGGGAAGGCGCGGGAGCTGGAGAGCAAGATGCAGTGGACCAACCTGCCCTACAAGGCCGAGGGCGTGCGCATGCGCGAGGACGAGCGCCTGGGGCGGGAGGCCCTGAAGCGCAAAGAGAAGCCTTGCTCAGGGGGAGCGCAGGTGGGAGAAGGGCACGGCCCATGTGGTGCAGAAGATGCAGCAGAGGAGGCAGGACAAGTGGCGGCAGAACCTGCACAAGAAGAAGGCGGCCCAGGCCGAGCGGCGCCTGGACAAGGCCCGCAAGAAGGGCCAGATCCTGCCCCAGGACCTGGAGCGGGCCGGCCTGGCATCAGGGCCTGCAGCCCGGGCGCCCAGACCTCCTCCCTGACCTGGGGCTGCCCTCCCACCTCGTGTGACCGCGGCCAGGAGCTCGGTCTGTGCGGTCTAGGCTCCTCGGGAAAGGGGGGCTCCGTGGCCTCAGGTGACTGGCAGAGGGTGGAGCCGACCTTGCCTGTGACTTGGAGGGAGTTATCCTGTGTTGATTTGTAAGAGGAGCAAAAATGAGGGCTTAAGGTAAACACGCACCTGAAAAGAGTTAAGATGACCGCTGGGGGCTGCCTGGGGGGCTCAGTGGTTCAAGGGTGCCTGACTCTTGGTTTGGGCTCAGGTCTGGATCTCAGGGTCCGCTGATCAGCCCCACATCAGGCTCCACCGTTAGCGTGCCGTCTGCTTGAAATTCTGTCTTGCTCTCCCTCTGCTCTTCCCGCTCCTGCTGTTTCTCTAAAATAAATAAATCTTTAGTGGAAAAAAATAGATGCGGGCTGGAAGTTCAGCACAGTGTGCGCCATGCTGGGAGGAAGGGGGAGACGGGGGGTGGCGCTGGAGGACGTCAGCCCAGGAGAAGGCAGGAGACAAGGAAGGCTAGAAGCTACGACTCGGCGAGGCGATGGAAGACGGCCCGTGAGGCGGTGGAATCCCACGCACACCTGTGGGCAGGCAGACCCGCTGCAGATGCACAGGACCCCGGGGCGGGGGTGGATTTCGTGGCTCCTGAGTAATGTTTCAGTGAAGCCGTCAATAACTCTTTTGACTGAGCTCCAGTTAAGAAACACTGTAACAAAGGCTGGTGTGGCTGTACTGGGCAGAGCGGACCAGAGGATAAACAGCGCTGTGGAGGGTGAGGTAGGTCACGGTGGGATGGAGGGGCCCCGCGCCCCCGGCAGGCAGAGCGATTCTGACGCCCCCAGTGATGGAGCTGCAAGTCTCCCAGGGGAAATCCGCTCACAGACAAAAGCGGAGGATTTCTGATGCCTCTCTTAGGCCTAGAAACACCCGGCAGAAGTCCGGTGGATACGGAAGGTCTAGATGAGAGTTGATGAGCTTGATCTAAGGACACAGAGCGGTGTGAGTGGGAACAAGGTGCGGACTCCACCCACATCTGGAGCAGCAACGAGAACTGACTGCCTGGTCCATGAAGCAAGTTCTCTGTTTCAAGGAATCGACGTCCTACCAGGCGTGTTGTCTGGCCGCGGCATGATTTAGTTGTTAAAGTTAAGACGTGATTGTAGAAGTTTCGTGTTCAGAAGTTTAAAAACGTACTTCTGAGTTACCTGTGTGTCATTGTGGGAGATGGAACCTATCGCCAAGTGTCAACACTGAAAATGCCCTGATTCACCTTCTGGGCCTCCCCAGGCCTGGCCGTCACCCCCTCCCTGGCCCAGAGCTTCGGGGCTGCCGGTGTGCGGGACAGGGCGGCGCGTGACGTGCTCTGGGGCGGGTGACAACACAAGCAGCGCATCCAGGGGCATCAGTGGGCGATAGCACATGGACAATAGAAGAGCACAGAGTGGGTCGGGGAGGCCTGACAGACGCTCGGATGCTCTGTGCCTCAGGTGGGGAAGAGCCGAGCGCAGCATCGTGGGAGAAAACCTCCGGGGCCGAATGTCAGGAACGTTTCCAGAACCAAATGGTGGCAGTCCCCAGTTTCAAAGGTACCCCCCGCTCGGGCGGAGGGAAGCAGATGAAGATTGCCCTAACCAGAACCCCTCCTGCACAGGAACTGGGGTTCCAACATCCCAAAGGTCGTGGTAGTAGGAAAAGTAATAAGGGAAAGCTCACTAAAACAGAATCAAGAGGCCAGAAAGAGGAGCTCTCGTGCACTCTGTCACCCGGAGTCAGTCACAGAAAGAACTGTCACACACCCCGGCAGAAGGATCCTCCACAGGAGGGAATCATGTCTACAGACCCGACAGAAGGATGGACGCTTCATCTCCTGTGAGAAAACCACTCCCCCAGCAACTCAGCCAGTGGGAAACTGCCCTCACGCTGAACTCCTGCTCTTGTCCAGTGGACTTCGGTTCAGGACAGCCCCTTCTAACTTTCTCCTCGTAAAATAACACTTCTTTCTTTGTTGGAGTTGTCTGCGGTTTTACTGTAGCTTGCATGTCCCGAATTGCAATTCTCTGCTATTCCCGAATAAACCCATTTTGTTGGTAAAGTACCGGCGGTTTTAAGGTCAACAGTAATCTCCTTTTGGCCCTGGCTCTTTCGGTGGGGCTTGGAGGAAGGATCAGAGTCAGCCTTTCTTCGTGTCTGGGGCCCCAGGACTTGAACTAATGCATGTTTAGAAGTTCAGTGAGGGTCTGTGACCAATCAGGTAGCTCAAGTGAGGCTTCTAGTCACCAGACCTGGGGGTGGGGGGCAGAGAGAGGGGTCTCTAGACCCCGGTGGGTCGTCTCATCCAGTTCACTGCACTAGTCTGGGAGAAAGTCACAGGAACCTTGCATACGTTGCCTGTGGAAATAACACTTTGCTGCGTGTTCTCTGCTGTTGGGTTGTGACACCTGTGTTGGTCCTGGGAGCTCAGTTACGGTCTCTTACCTGTGTTCCAGGTTCAGAGAAGAGCCACCGTGCTGCTTTTCCAGGATGTCTGAGCTCTGCGTGTGGCAAAGGTGTGTCTTCTGGATCCTCCCCTGACCATCTGTTGGGTGGATGAGCAGGTAACATGGTAAGGTTCCTCCAACAAGCCCACCTCTCCATTGGGGTTTCTTACCTTTCTGTTTTTCCAGGGGATTTCCAGAAGCATCACTTACTTTAGTGTTGACCTCAGTGACTCCAGGTCATGGAGCAATTTTTCATGTGTTTCTTGGCCATTTGTATGTCTTCTTCAGAGAAACGTCTGTGCATGTCTTCTGTCCATTTCTTGACTGGATTATTTTTCCATCTTTTAAGCTCTTATTTAGGCCACTGCTCCATTTTGAGTTAAGTTTTGTACACAGAGTGAAGTAGGTGTGACACTGATTTGTCATTCAGCTTCTCCTGCTCCCATATCACCCTGACAAGGGGCCTCCGTGGGCGCAGTTCTGCTCCCCTGCCCTCAGCCAGAGGCAGGCCATCGTGTGCCTTTGGTATGATGCATGGAAGCACCGTCTCTTCCATTCCCAGTGGCTGGCACTTAGCGGTGGGGCCAGGCTGGTTGGCAGTGGTGGTGTGGCATCTCTGCCCTGTCCCAACTGGTTCCATCATCCCTCCCTCTGGGCCAGATGGGAGCGTGCACAGAAAGTCTTAGCAGGAGAACAGGGACAGAGAGATGGATGTCCTCTCTCTCCCAGGCTCTGTGGTGTGCCGTGTTTAATCCTTGAGTGGGCTCCCCATACCCTGGTGTCCCTGCACCCCAGGGACACTCTCTCCTTTGCCTTCACTGAAGCTCCTCTTTAATCCAGTGTGTCAGAAATCTCTGGGACCTCCCCCTCCAGAGAAAATGAGGAGACCCAGAAAGCATCCGAGACCACTGTGCTGTTTGGAGGTTGGGTAGACGAAGTGCCAGGTGAGGAAAGCAGCTCGCCGGGCCGGAGACACAAGTGAGGAAAGGTGGAGAGGTCGGGGAGGGGAGTGGGAGTGGGGCGGGGACCAGCCTAAGCCGGAGAGGCGAGCAGGGGCCAAATCTCCCGGGGCTTGGAGGCTGTAATGCCCGCAGGCTGGGCCCTGAGAGCAGGGGAAGCCACCAAATGGGTCCTTCCATGATCTGAGGTAGGGGACGTTACTGCCCCTGTTCCAGCAGGGCAGCCTGCCTCGGGCATCTGGCTGCAAAGTCTGGTTTTTGTCATGGGACTGACCTAGCTGCCTCTCCCCGCCAGATCTGGGCAAACCGGAAAGCTGCTGAGGTTCCTCCCACCCAGAAGGGACAGGTGGGGTTGGGCCCAGGCAGGAGCCGGGACTTTGTTCCTCGGGTTGGTCTGGCTCTGAGCCTAAGGGCTAAGCTGTGCTTAGCTTCTGCCAGGAAGCCCTCCACCTCCTATCTGAGCCTCTGCCTCCAGGGCACGTGCCCGTGGGTCCTTGGAGGAGCCATGGACCGCAGAGGTGAGTGGGGAGATGAATGGGGAGGAACTCCAGGCTGGGGCTCCAGGATGGGGCGACGGTTATCTCCACGGGCCTCTGGCCATCTGGTCGGGGCTTCCCAGCTACGTAGAGCCGGAAGTCCAGAACTGGCCTTGGTGGGGACAGCTGGGTGTAGTGGGAGCAGGGAGGGTCTGGGAGCTATGTTTGCTTCTGTGGGTGGGAGTGGGTGTGGTCTTGGGCAGGGTCGATGGTGGTACCCAGGGAAGTACCACAGAATGTGGCCTGAGCGGTGTTAGTTGGGGGTGGGGTGGGGCAGACCCTTGGGGGAAATGTCTTGATTTGACATGCAAAGCCCCCTGCTCAGTTCTCTTGCCCAGCCGTCCTGCCCAGCCCTCCTCCCTAGGCCTCCTGCCCAGGCTTCCTGTCCCCGTCCCCTCTCCTGGGCTCTCTTTTCTTTACTTGTCTGAGCCCTAGGGGTGGAGAAGGCGGTCCAGGAGGGGCCTTCCTCCTGCAGTGAAGTCTGCCTGTGACAGAGGGGGCTCAGAGTCCCTTCCAGAATTCTGCTTAGATCGCCGACATCGCCAGGGCTTGGAGTGGGGGACGTGGGGCACCTGCTGGGGGTGGGGATGTGGGGAAAGAAGCAGGGAGAGAGAGAAAGGGAAGGAGGAAGTAGCCTGAGGGGACAGGAGTCTCCTGTGGGCGCAGGCTGGCTCCCTGAGGGCAGTAATACCGCCTGGAGCTGGCCCAAGGTCACCCTGTGAGGCTGACATCTAAGGGCAGAGGGGAGGGAAGGAGGGAGAGTGGAGGCGAGGGGAATGGAGAGCCAGGAGGAAGGCCCCTTCCTGCCCCGACCCCTCTCCTCCCCACCTGGCCAGGATAGTGCGGTCTGCTGCACTTTCCCCAGAGGGTGGTCTCTGCCTCTCTGGCTGAGAGATGGAGTCTTCTGTCTGGCCCTTGGCCCTCTCTCCCTGCCTGCCCCCCTCCCTGCCTGGACCCCCTCCCTCCCTGGCCATCTCTGTTGCTCCGTGGACACAAACCAGCTCAACAACTCAGGGTCTTGTCAGTGGGACCGGCAGGCCCCGGGCCCAGCCCCTGCGGCTGTAGATGGGCACCCCTGGCGGAGTGCTGGGCATCTGGAGCCCCCGCCCCATGGGAACAGTAGTGCGCCCCCTCAGGGGACGCACAGGGAAGCAGGGAGAGCAGCAGGCCCACCTGCTCAGAGCTCCTGCCCGGGGCCACGCTGTGCCCAGCTGCCTCTCCTCAGTGACCAGGAGGGCAAGGATCTGACCTTCGTGCGCATCTAGGAACACCCAGGACCTGGCACTGTTCATTCACCCTCTCATCCGTGGCCCTGTGCAGGGGCGTGGAACACAGTGTGGTCTCAGGGAACCTTCCAGAATAGCAGTCCAAACCCCACCTTAGTGTACATGAAGTGGGCTAGGTGGGTCCAGATCTCCCAGGTGTGCCCCACAGCTGGGGTTGTGACCTGGGCTCACCCCTTCTTCGACCAGAGGAGAAAGATGGCATCCTGGGGGCCTCTGGGAAGGCTTCCATGCTCTGCTCAGCCCTCTCCCCTGACAGCAGGAGAAAGTGGACTTGGAGAGACACTGGGACGGTCCAGGGAGACCGGGACAGAGCCCTGGAGTCCTCCCTCCATTCCCTCCTGCCTCCTGGGACAGGGCCTGGCTGGGTGGGGGCCCTGCCAGAGCCTGGGAGGAGGCGCAGAGTGGGACGGGGCTTCTTCAGCCGCCTGCGGAGTCAGGGCCCAGCCTGGGCAGGAGTGCACACGTCTTCCCGGGGGAGACAACCAAAGACAACAGCTGCTGCTTTTCCTTATGTTTAGTCGTTGAAATTCTTTTGTTGATAGGAGGCAGGCAGACATGGCCTGTCTTGGGCTGGGCATGGAGCAGGGTCCCTTAAGGAAACCCTGTCCCAGACTGGCTGGGGGGGATGCCCTGGGCCATCACTGTTAATTTTTGTCCTCGTTCTAAAGTGTGTCTGCTCTTCATGACCAAAGCAGAGACATGGTGTGGGCGGTGGGTGGTGGGCAGGGCAACTCCTAGAGCCAGCCAAACCCCATGGCCCAGAAGGCATGAGCGCCTGGGCAGAATCCCAGGGTTTCCTGGTTCCCTGGAAGGTGTGGACCACAGCTCTGGGGACGATCATGACCTGGTGGGGTCCACTAGGCCACCCAGCCTGCCAGGGATACCTGTCTGTGAGTGTCCCACAGGCAGGGACAACTCTGGTCTGAAAGTCAGGGATCTGGGAGGGTGTCCGATTCATGCCAGTTTGCTCAGACCTGCCCTGGGTTTAGCACTGCCACCACCCCCTGGGGCTTGGTGTTCCAGCTTCCAGTCCGACTGCGGATGGCCTCTGTTCCGCCAAACCCCAGGTCCTTGGACACAAGGTCCTTTCCTGCTGCTGTGCTTGGCTGGTCCCTTCCCTTGATCTTGCCCACCTGCTGCGCGCCTCCTGCCTCTCCTTCTTGTGTTCTCTGTGTCTGGCCCACTAGCCCCACCAGGCCAGCCGCCTCGGTGTTTCCTCCTTTCCTGTCCAGATGCGCGTGACATTCGTGCTTTGCATCCGGGATCACAAGAGAGCTCCCTGCACACGGCCAACCCGACCAGTGAGCTGATGGGACCTTCAGCTTCACCTGGGCCAGCCTGCTCTGTGTCAGAACGGGGGACTCCGAAAGTCAACTGGGAAGTGCCAGGACCCCGCCCGCCCCCGGCCCTGAGCCGTGGGCAGCTTGTGCCGTACAGGGTGTGGGCTGGAAGTATGCCATCCACAGCGGCCTGGCGAGCTCCGACTGCGTGCCGGCACCGTCTAGAGAGGGCGACAAGAGAAGTGTCAGAGCCCACGGCACCAGGGCCCCGGGCAGGGCGGGGACCACGCAGGCTACTGGGGGAAACTTGCTACAGAAAGAGTGGAGTGATCCGGTTGCTACCCAATAGCCTGACTCTGGCATCCCGCAGGGTAGGTCGGGGGCAGGCC